TAGGACAGAAAAGTTTCTAACAGCAGCTCTAGGGAACAAAATGAGGTTGGAAATCATCTATTCAATGGACGCAAAATGAATCTGCAGTGCACCAAAGATATTTGGGAAGCTTGCAGGCCTCAACTAGAGAAAATAGTTCTCCTTCCATTGTTGGCTTCCCAGGGTCTAATATTCAGGATAATTTTCCTATGAACCAGGAAGTAATTCATTAGCATTAGTAGATATTGTTTAATCCCCCCAAGAAGTTGTCCAATCTTTCCTAAACGTGAAACTTAATGTGTGCCGAATATTCATTTTTATTGTAAGAATTTACACGTCACCTTTCAAAATAAAAATCCTCATGCAATGATGGATATTAACTCTTTATCGATTCATTGGCTGCCTGCTACTCTGTGAGATGGGGCTGTTCAGGAACCACCTCTGACAACATTTTAGAATGTAATCATGATTTCTAAGCCTTCTGATAGAACCAATGGCTTAATAAATAAGTCAGCTACAAGATCATCCCAGGCAATTTAGCTTTGTATGTAAGGAGACAAAACTTGAGTGTTACAGGAAGGGGATGAGAAAGGAAAGGTTTTGGACTGCCTCTTTTGTATTTGTGAGTAACCAAGGAAAGTACCAAGCAGAGACTCAACATCTGGGAAGTTTCAGTAGGTATGTTGTTTATAAAAAGCAACTTCTGACTTAAAGGGGAAACCCAACATTTTTTCAGGCAGTAAAGGTTGCTGACGAGAGTCTACGGACTTAAAAACCGAGAAGAAAAAAGGAAGGCAATTCCATGATATCCGAATAAACGAAATAATAATAAATTAAAAAAAAGAAATTGTTAGGTTAAGAATGAACGCAAAAGAGACAAGGCACTCGTGGAGAAAACTAGGACAGCACAGAGCCTACTATAAAAGGTAAATCAAACAAATAAATAGAAAGGAATAAAAGCAAAAGGAAACAAAACATTCCAATACCAGCTTGCTTTTCAGAGGAACTAGAATCAAAGATTCTCAATACTTGTGATCCTAGGGAGGAGGAGACACATTAAAGAAGGTGGCAAAAACACACTTGACACGTCCACAAATGAAGAAATCGACACAACTTTCCCCCCACCAAACACACACACACACACACACACACATGCACGCAACGAAGACGGATCGGTGGGTGATACTAAGGGTCACAAGAGAGGTGGGGGGGTGGGGGTGAGGATCTCTGGGAGTGCCTCTAGAGACTACGACACTACTGCTCTGAGGAGCTGAACTCACTCTGAAGGACGCTTATAGTAGCCTGGGCTCGTATCCACGTTATGGCAGGATTTTGCCTCAAGTCATTCCTTCTGGGGTCGTTGCTCGCCCTGCACTCATACGTCCCAGAGTCTTCCAAGGTAAGACGAGTGATTCTCAGCACGCTCACGCCATTCACCCCGTAGGCAGTGTTAATGGTGGCGCGGCGCTTTCGAGCACCGTCCCACAGCTGTTTGAAAGATTCAGCCCGGTTGACTTCAGCGTACCACCACTGGATCTCTGGGGTGGGGTTCCCAACCACGTCACAATACAGTTCAAAGGCGTCCCCTGTGAGCTTAGTCTCTGACATAGGCGACTTGACAAACCCAGCTAGAGAGGAAAAGGGGGCAGCAGAAATGCCATGACAGATGAACGGGTGAGGGTGGGGTGGGGTGGAAAAAAGAACAGATCTTATAAAGAAAGCAAATGAAATTGCAGAAAACACACAAAAAAAAAACAACAAAAAAAAGAGAGACATGCCCATCTACAACAGTGGTTATAGTGTGAGTTCAAAAGAAGGAAAGTGAGATTGGCAGAAAAGCCAGTTTTAAGGGAGACAAGCCAATTCTTAGTCTGCGACAGAAAGAGAGTGGGTCTGTCCCCCCCCCCACCTCTTCGTTCCATCTAATAATAATAGTTCCTAGGGAGGAGGTTAAAAACTGGATGGACATCTTAAGTCTTATTAGGAATTCCCTTTGTTTAAACTTTAATAATTCCCCTTTATTATCTTCTTTGGATATAACACTGGGATTAGGAAAAAAGCTCTCTATTATAACCAGGGCTCCACCAAGATTGTGCTTTGATCTCCTCTTATTTCAAGCCCAGAGGGATGTATGACAGTCGGATAAATTGTCTTACACATCTTATAGCAGCCCACACTTAAAAGAACTCTTGTGTTGCAATAATCGCTGCATTACCACAAACTTATGCTGATTAAAAACAAACGGACCACAAAGATGCGAAAATTAGGCAAACAATCATACTACTGTTATAGTCACACACCCAATAACGATCCCATGTAGATCTCTATTTTTCTCCCCAAGAACTGAATCAGCATTTTCAATTCCTTTAATTTGGTATCTTTTAAGCGCATAGTACAAGTGGGATTTTTCCTAATGACTAAGAATTCATTTGTTCTCAAATCCCATGCCCAAGTACAAGTGGGCTAGCTCTGTGCCCAAGGCAGGATCAGAACTCACGGATTACTGGTTTCTAGCCTAATGCCTTAACCGCTACACTCAACTAGCCCTCACTACGTCTAATAAGGTAGATTACACCTAGATTGCCTACTTAAAGTTATAAGACTACTTTTCTGTTTGTCAAACAACACCTAAACTAGATTGCAAAATATTTCACGACAATGTAGAAGGTATTACCTGCTTGTTTATATACTGAGTCACCCTGGAGAGTTACAGTCATTTCCCTCCTATTCCAATATGCATTCAATCATGAAGTAAGGCAACCATTGTTGGAAATCAATGTAGTATATATCAGCCAAGAAAGAACTCAGTTTTTGCCTCCCATTTCACAAAGCACCTCCCTATGAGATCAGCAATCATTCCTGTCACACTTTTCAGTTTCCTATTTGGTGGCAAGAAAGGTATAAAATATTTGCTGATTTAACTCCACACTGCTGACCATTTCTTAATGATATAGCTGAGGGAAAGTTTCTGGTTCTAACTAGTGAAGCATGGGACACTACTGTTCTTAAAAAATTATAGCAAAACTTTCAATCCTAATTTGGTGAAAACTCAAACCAGTACAGCTAATACACGTATAAGCATTGTGCTGCAATATTCAATATCCACCACATTTTTGCTTTTACGGTTCTGGAACCTCACCTAGCTATGATACAGTTTTATTCTCTTTCGATAAAAAGAAAATTCTGCTAAATACAATTGAACAGAATGTCTGCAAATCTAGTTAAGGTAAGTGTTTCTGAGTATTGTTGTAATTTTGACCAGCGCTATACCTATTTAATAATTTTGAATACACTGGATAGTTCGTATTATCAGCTTCAATTAGTTTCTTCAAGATGGTGACAAATGGTTTCTACAGGCAGAAAAGCCTTCTTAAAAAAAAGCCTGTAACAAAAATACAAATCCGAACATGATGGATCTTAATGTAGTTTTGTCTGCAGGTTCTATAAAGCAAGTCATGAAATGGGTCATACGTATACTAAATTATTAAGGTGACCAAAGGCATCATCTCACTAAAAGCTGTGCTGGATAATGTTAATGTTGCAGAATCATAATACAGGCCTGAGCGTAGCGATACGATCCTGCTGAGCCATTCGCCCTCTGATGGTGCTGCTAAAATATACATCGCCTTAAACACAAAATCCCTTCCTTTGCTTTGTGCATCCTACGCCAGTTAGCAAGAAGTTGAGCTGTTTCCAAATGAGTTCTGCTCGAGTGATCTTTGTATTCTCAAGCTCGGAGGCTAATCCTTTAATATGGCGAGAGCAATAGATGCATTTGGTGCTTATGAATAGGCACAACTGAAATATAAAGTCATAGAACGAATAGAAATTTATATTTAACCACTTCTATCAAGAAGCTTTTGTGAATAATAAATTTACGTCACTTCGCAAATCTCCTAATTTAAATGTTTCTTTGACCCAGACCACAACTCTTATAGCAGCTACACTCAAGACGATACAGATTTTAATTTTAATAGCAATCCTCTGTAGTACAATCACTAAAATGAAGATCTTTACTCTTTTTAATATTAGCACTATCCACACTAATCACATTTTCAAGGTCAAATGAACACGTGGAAAGGACTTCAACCATGTCTCACTTTCATGATGTAAATCAGTTATTATTCTGAAGATACCTACTTATCATCATTAGCTTTTGCACTAATTCAGTCTATTTCATCCTACCAAAGCCAGTTATTGTCATATATTACTGAAGAGTGAACGTCTGAATATTTCTACTGTAAAGGATTTGAAACATTCCTTGTTTACATTGCCTCTTCTTGCATTGATCTGCCAGAAAATTGGAATATATCCAAAGCCTGTAAGTGATCAGTCACATAAAAGTTGTTCAATAAATTTCTAGACAACAATCTTAAGACTTAACCACTTACTCTACAATTCTGTTACTGTACTAATTCTGCTTTTATTTAATTCAGATTTGGCATGATAGCACATGAAATAAAACAGTCCAAATTGGTTCTTTGTGAGTACTATGGGTTTTCCTTTATCTGTAATTTATTTTCTAGTCAACTTGATTTAAAGCAGTTCAAATTTTGATATAATTTTACAAATTACTAAGAGCAACAGGAAAAAAATGAAAGCCATACACAACTCCCCCTTTAATTTGTTTCAAAATTAAGTATTCAGGAATCGATGTTCTATAATTTTCAGAACTGTCTTTTTGAAAACACTGGTCATGCTGGAAAGAAAGTGAAGGGGGAAAAAGGTATAATTTTGGTATCAAAATAACAAATCAATTTTTCTGCTACAGCATTCAATTGTGATATTGCTCCTACGTGCTCATCTTTTGGTCTTTAAACACAAAAATGCTTCCTGGATTTTCTTTGGACATGCTGGGCTTTTCTGTATTCATTTTATACTCCCTGTACTGACAAGCGTCACCCACTCGGATGCAAACTCATGTTTCTCACAGTTCTCTGGATCAGAAAAGATGTTCCATGATAGACCTATCAGAAGGACTCTCTTGAGTTGCGAAGGAGCACAAAGCATGCGGATGTTCTATCTGATCAAACAGAATGCAGCCACTCTTCAGAAGAGCAGTGTCATAAGACTGCTTTAGGGATCCCACTAACCCCAGTGACAAAACATGCTTTTGTCTTACAACACAGGCGTCTCTAAACATTTTCATTGCCATGTTTCCTTGCTTTATACTTAAGCTATTCTTAGGCATTTTGGGGGCGGGAGAAGCTTAGGAATGAACAGAAAGGCTGCAGGAAAGTTAAAGTGTTCATTAAAATGGACTCATTTCATTCTTGTTAAACAACTGAAGATAGAAGGGACATAGGAAAAAACATTTCCCCTCCCTTCTTAGTAGATCTTTTTTAAACCTTCTGGTCCTCCAGGAACAGCAGGATTTCCTCCATAACTATATATTCTGTCTGTTCTAAATTCTTGACCCTTTACTGTCCCTTCCTTGCTGCCACTTACCCATATTATTAAACCTCTTGCCAATTTAAATTAATCATCTCCTTCTGATACTGCCACAGATTTTTATCTATCTTTTTATTGCCTTCCTTTCATCAGCTTCCAGGGACATTGTAAGCCAGGCCAGCCATTTTGAGGTTCATAAGTCAGCTATGTAGCAATGCAGAGATCTGGACCTGGCTTGCAAGAGTTAACAGCCAATCTTGCATTTTTGGGCCATGTTTGGACTCTGAGGAACTGCAGTTCCAACACACCTAGAATACACTGAAACTGTTTTCTGCCCCGCCCTGTAGCAACTTTTAGCAAGTACACCTGATTTCCACATCTTCCCTGCCTTTTTCAGGTCAAACCTCTTGACCAACTCTGCAGACAATTCAAATGATTTTGTATTTTTAGATTAAAGAGCTTACATACTGCATGGCATAGAGGGCAGTTTCCAAATCAGATTTCAGACCATCACTGGAAACAATACAGGTAGTCCTCGACTTATTACAGTTCATTTAGTGACCCGTTCAGAGTTACAATGGCACTGGAAAAAATTGAGTTATGACATTTTTTTTCATCGTTACGACCACTGCAGTATCCCCCCCGTGATCATTCAGACGTTTGGCAACTGGCTCATANTATAATAACAACAGATTAACAGAGTTGGAAGGGACCTTATAGGTCATCTTATGGATGTTGCCTACTATTTTTAGTATATGTCTCTATTTTGTTGTCTGTATCCCCCCTTTCCTAGTTTTATGTGAGCCGCCCTGAGTCCCCTCAGGGAAAAGGGCGGCCTACAAATTCTAATAAAACTAAACTATAAACTATAAACATCTAGTCCAGCCCCCCACCCAAGCAGGAGACTCTACATCATTTCTGACAGTTGACTGATCTGGTCTCTTCTTGAAAGCTTCCAGGGATGAAGATCCCACAACTTCCGAAGGCAACTTCTGTTCCATGGGTCGACTGTTCATAAAATGTCTCCTTACTTCTAGATTGAACCTCCCCTGGATCAGTTTCCAGCCATTATTCCTTGTCTGGCTTTTGGGTGCTTCGGAAATTATACACAGCCACTTTGCTTTACTAGGTAGAAAGTGGTCACATTCGTAATGTATTGCTATACCAAGCTAAACTCCCATGTCCTTCAACCAAGGAACATGCAGTGCGTTATCTTGATACAGTCCCACACGAATCTTCTGAAGCAAGAACATATCACCGTACAGGTCAAAATATACTTCATGTGTATCAGGCTTCCTTCCTTTATATTTATGCTGTATTTTAGACTTTAGACCTCTGGAATCCATCCAGTGCAACAGTATAATCTTTGTTCTGAAATTACATGTGTTCAGGCACAGACTGTGGGATTAAACCAAGTATTGGTAGAGCAATACTTTTTTTTTTTTAAAGACCCATTGTTAAGCATTTACTCCATGCCAGCATCTCAAAAGACGTAGTACAAAGCCATACCACCCTATTTAAAAATAATTGTGTAAAGGAATAGTGTAAGAATTTGAAAGACTTGTCGTGATTATACTTCTGGCACGGAATGTTTTGCAAATTTGATTTTATGGGTGGTCTTGACACATGCATATTATCTTCCGGAAGAGAAAATAAATGGCGGGATAAACATGCTGGTTACTGTAATAGAGAACTGGAGAGATTTAGACACGTTTTGTTAGTAGCATGGGATTGTACCTATATGGCCACATCCGTGAAAATCTTTTATCTACTAAATGAGAATTATCCTACACAAATATAAGTAACATTCAGATTTAACATGGCTTTATTCTAGATGGAAAAATCAGCATAATTAATTGAAGCATAAAATGTTCAACTGTGGCTCTCCAATTAGTTCACAAAAAGGAAACCCAATTTTCATGTTGCCCATATGGAACACTTCATGTATTTGCCCTCTCCTTGCAGCCTGAACATGAGGAAATCTCACACTCAGTGGAAAACATTACTAGTTAGAGTTCCTCTCCAATGTATTTGGAAAGTCCCGTTACTTTTCCATTAATGAGTTAAACATTTCCTCAGAAACTCACCGTGCAGATTAAACAAAATTAAACAAGGTAGAGAGAGGCACTTGATGAATAATATCTACGTGCAATATGAAATAATGCATGAATAATGTTTGTCAAGAACACAAACAACTCCACCCAACACAGAAATTTATAAACCAGCCTTGCATTCTCTAACCTGATGCCAAGAGCCACATTGGCTAGAAATTCTGGGAATTATAGTCCAAATATATTTGAAGGACATCACACTAGGTAAGACTTGTGTTATATTTTCCTACCAGTTGTTAAAATAAGAATTAGAAACAAGGCAAAAGGAAGGAAATGGGAAAATGCTACACAGTATTTATCTCCTAGAAATGGGCAATACAAGCAGTTGTATTTTCAAGAATTCTGGGTTTCAAAATTTTGTTCCGCAGTATTATATAAAAATTGCTTTCAGAATACTAGTTTTTAGACTGTACTCGATGCATTTTAGCAAAACGGTAATATAAAACTGATAGTGAGACAAGCATGCAGTTACTACTGGAAAATCACATTGACCATCCAGTATTTCTCTTATTTGTTAAAACTGTATCATAATGCTGGTGTATAAGGTATATGTCAGCATCCCACGTAACTGATTCTTGGTTTTTAATAAAATAATCCTCCACTGTTAGCTGTTCTTACTGCCTATTTTGAACTAGAGAAGCGTGGTCTCATTTTTTTTAAAAAAAAGGATTTGTATGCTTTCTCCATCAGTTGTAGTCATATACTGCAGGAAATTCTTCAAGTCTTGTATAATAGGAGTTTGTATGCTGTGCAAAACAAAGCATCATAGGCTTGCTTTCTATATCCTAATAAATGTATACTTTGTACTGTTCTGTTTACACACACAAAAAAACATTTATGGTGCAGCATTATGATCAGAAATCCAGATTAAGTTACCAGATTTATTTTCACTACATGGCCCAGGAGAAGGCTATAAGCCACAACAAATAAGAAAACAAAATCCACATTATTACTGAATATTTCACATTTACATGATTCCTCATATACTGTGCGGGCAATTTTTTCTCACATCAGTCTCTGATGCACATATATTTTGATACACATATATCCTACTCAATGTCACTATTTTTTTATGCGCATAGCAATATAGAAGGTAAATTGCAGGAAGAAAGTAATCTTTCTAAAAGCTTCTAAAAGTAATGCCTTACATTTGAGATTATGCTTTTGATATGAGTGCTGACATTACAGACCAGTGTTTATGATTAGATTGGTTTTGCCAAGGCATGGACCTGATGGAGCTGCAGTTTACAAAAATATATGTTTTAAAATAAAATTTGCTTGCTGGAAAAGGTGCTGCCAGACTCCTCTGGATCTTTTTAACCAATTAATAGCATTATAATAAAAGAAAGCAGGGAATTCATACCACTCAAGAGGTAAAAAAAAAAAAATCAATCAAGGTTACTTCCCATATATTCTTGCCTGCTTCTTAAGATCAATGCCTCTTGCAAGCCTTGTCTTCAATTGAGATGGGCCTTGTGAAAGAAAGAAAGAAAGAAAGAAAGAAAGAAAGAAAGAAAGAAAGAAAGAAAGAAAGAAAGAAAGAAAG